ACACCAGAACAGACACAGGCGCGAAGAGATGCAAATGCACAGCTCCAAGCTGAACGTCGACAAAATTTTCAAAGAAACAATTGGTCGGTTTTTAGTGACGCAGCATTCAATTATGATCCGTTGATTGACTATAAAAATCACAGGTTAGTTGTTATCGTACTGATGGACAAGGCATGTCGATTTTGCAGCGCTTTAAAATGGATTTGCCAAAATATCCAGGGAGTTGAGAGAGACACAGTGTTCAAAATTCTAAGATTCTTGCATGAACGTAACGTTTTAGTCAAAACATTTAAAACTGCTTTAGAAAACCTACCTGAAGAGGATTATAAAGTTGTCATTCACGCAGATCGGACCCCTTGAGGAGAACATGAAAGGCGCTACAATGCACCTTTGATAAACGAAATAGCAGCCGTAATTAGTGGTGATCAATTTTCTTCACGAGACATTGTCTTGCGAGTACGTGATGATACCTTGCAACGGGTAGCCGATACACACAAGTTTTATGACGCTCTGCAATACCCATTGATTTATTGCAAAGGACAAGAGGGTTATCATTTTAAAATTCCACTCATTAACCCGGTCACAAAGGAGCCTACTCCGAACAAAAAAAGTATCATGTATGGATTTTTATGCGTATCATATGATGTTGCGAGAAAATTATTTTAACCTCTTAGCCCGGTGTAGACAATTATTTCATAAATTTTTGGTAGACATGTATGTGAAGGTAGAAAGTGAACGTATCCGTTATATATCTTTAAATCAAAAAAAGCTGCGCGTTGATAATTATATACATTTACAAGATGCAGTTTCTAGCGACGCCAATATAAACCCCAGAGATTTAGGTAAAACGCTACCTATATGAGTACACACAAGACTCATTCGCCTATGTACGAACTTACGGAAGACCTGATCTTTTTGTTACTTTTACTTGCAATCCCACATGGAAAGAAATAACCGAGGAGCTAATGCCGGGCCAAAAAAGTACTGACAGACACGATTTACTTGCTAGAGTATTTAGATTAAAAGTACAAAAATTAATGTATGTAATTAACAAAGGGAAAATTTTAGGAGAGGTGCTGTGCTTCATGTATTCAATTGAATGTCAAAAAAGAGGATTATCGCATGCCCACATTCTAATATGACTTAAAGAGAAGTTGCGGCCCAGCCAAATAGACGGCATAATAAGCGCCGAGATTCCGGATCCTGAGCAAGATAAAGAATTGTATGATACCATCGTCCGAAATATGATTCACGGTCCATGTGGAGCACGAAATTTAATATCGCCATGTATGAAGGAAGGAAAATGTACAAAGAAATTCCCTAAACAGCTATTAAAAGAAACAGTGCACAATGACAATGGCTACCCTGTATACAGACGCAGAGCTCCCGAAGATGGTGGCAGGAAAGTTACAATCAAATCTCACTCTGGAGCGTTCGAAACCTTAGATAACAGCTGGATTGTCCCGTATTCGCCCATTCTATGTAAAATGTTTAATGCCCACATTAATGTAGAAGCATGTAGCTCTGTCCGCGCAATCAAGTATATCTGTAAGTACATAAATAAAGGAAGCGACCAAGCAATATTTAATCTCAGGAGTGAAGGTGAGGCAAATCCCGTTAATGAAGTACAGACCTTTCAAGCAGGGCGTTATGTCAGCAGTAACGAGGCAGCGTGGCGTCTCCTTGGCTACCCTTTACACGAAAGGCACCCAACAGTTACTCACCTTGCTGTGCACCTAGAAAATGGAGAGCGTGTATATTGCACTGAAAGAAATTTCCAAGAAAGATTTGCATCACCGCCAAAAACTACACTAACAGCCTTCTTTCAATTTTGTCAAACCGACTACTTTGCAAAAACGTTGTTATATTCTGAAGTCCCCCGCGATTATACTTGGAACACATATAGGAAGGAGTGAAAACGCCGTATTCAAGGCGCGCCTGTTGCAAAGTGGCCCAGTGTAAAGTCATCAGATGCCCTTGGTCGTGTGTATACTGTCCATGTAACTAATTTGAATGTTTCTGTTTACAATTGCTGCTGCACCATGTTCGGGGTCCTACAGGATATAAAGACCTTAAAACTGTCAACGGTCAGGAATGCGCAACTTATAGAGAAGCATGTGAAGCTCTGCATCTTTTAGAAAACGATAATCACTGGGATGAAACCATGGAGGAAGCTGTGCAGTGCCAGTCACCAGCCAAAATTAGGGATCTTTATGCAACTCTCATATCATCCCGCGGGCTATCTAATGTACATGAATTGTGGGACAAATATAAAGAGTACATGGCGGAAGATATTTTGCGAAGGTTACAGCAGACACACGTGAACATGACATACAGTGAACACATTTATAATGAAGCACTTGGAAAAATTGAAGATAAAGTAATGGCAATGGTAGGCAAAAAATTAAGCGACTTTGGAATGATAAGCCCTCAGCGAACAACCGAAAATGAACTAAGTGATGAAATTATACGTGAAACAAACTACGATATACCAGCCTTGCAGCAGCAAGTAGCCGAATTTGTACCCCGCTTGCTTCCCGAAAAAAAAAACGAGTTTTTGACAAAGTATTAGGACAAATTGAATCTGGAAAAGGTGCACTTTTCTTTTTAGATGCCCCTGGAGGAACTGGGAAAACACTTTTGTTAAATTTATTATTAGCGCAAGTACGGAAAGATAAAAACATTGCTGTGGCCGTAGCTTCCTCCGGTATAGCCGCCACGCTGCTAAACGGGGGCCGCACTGCACGTTCTGTTTTAAAACTCCCTCTAAATCTAGCCCAGGAAGAATCGCCGATCTGCAACTTTAGCAAAAAAAGTGCACGAGGTATAATGCTACGACAATGCAATCTTTTAGTGTGGGACGAAAGTACAATGTCGCATAAAAAAGCCGTAGAAGCACTAAATCGAAGGCTCCAGGATTTGCGCAGCAATACCGATGTAATGGGAGGAATGGTGGTTTTACTGGCTGGTGACTTTCGCCAAACTTTACCTGTCATTCAAAAGGGCACACCTGCAGATGAAATTAAAGCATGCCTCAAGTCGTCTATTTTATGGAACAAGGTGACAAAATTCAGTTTAACTACAAATATGAGAGTGCATTTGTATAATGATATCAATGCTGGAAACTATGCTGACACACTATTAAAAATTGGCGATGGCGGTTGGAAACGGATGCTGAGGGCTGCGTTAAATTGACGAGAGGTTTTTGTCATTTAGTACAGAGTCATTCCGAATTAGTTGCGAGCGTTTATTCAGATTTAACGAACAACATGCATGAAGACAAATGGTTATGTGAAAGGGCGATTATTGCACCAAAAATGAGAGCGTTAACAAAATAAATTTGGATATAGTAAGCGAAGTAGCAGGAGAAATAACAGAGTATTTGTCAGTAGACACAGTTATGGACACAGAACAGAGCACTTCATATCCCGCAGAGTTTCTAAATTCTCTAGAGTTGTCTGGTGTGCTCTCACATAAGCTTCAATTAAAATTAGGCTTCCCAGTCATGCTAATGCGAAATTTAGATGCTCCTCGGTTATGTAACGGGACAAGGCTGCGTGTGACACATTTTGGACGGAACATAATCGGTGCTACAATTTTGACAGGCGTAGGAAAAGGTGAAAATGTTATTATACCACGGATCCCTATAATTCCCATAGATCTTCCTTTTCAATTTAAAAGGTTGCAGTTCCCTATTAAGCTCAGTTTTGCAATGACAATTAATAAAGCGCAAGGACAAACGTTACAGGTAGCGGGGGTCAACTTAGAAGATCCGTTAAAATTTCCTATTTACTTTACAACAAGACTTAACAACTCAACTTTAAATAAAGTTGGTCTTGTTTCCTCATCATTTCTTACCAGCCACAAAAAATAAGTCTGCCTCTTTTAACAAACTTGATAGCTTTTCCCGTGTAGGATATTCTTTTCTCGGGTAATATCCATAAATGTAGTTGTGAATTGCAGCCGCATCAGAGAATTATCATCACCAACAATTTTCTTGTCCCTATTTCTACTTTCGGTGTACGGTCAACCACGGCATCTTTACCATATTTTTGAAGAAAAAACTTAATAAACGGAAAAATAAAATACTTGTAAATAAGCTATTCTTTTTAATCGATGAATATAGTACTTCTACATTGCTTTATAAATGCACTGCTCCTCATAGCTGCAAAACCACTAAAGCAGCGCCAAAAACATAACACAGGTAAAGATGCCGCAAAAATGGCTACTTTGCCTATACCGTATATCTCGATAAAATGAAGCCTTTATAACTGAAATTGGTAAAGATACCCTTTCGCTTTACACTCCCTGTTTAGACATATTGGTACTTTAAATAAAAAATATATATACGAGCAATACAGGCTGATAGTTAAAGATGGCATGGACTCCATGGAAATTCTCATACAAATGTAATTTATCATCAGGGCTGCCACTTGTTTAAAAATGAAGTTAAAATGTACGGATATAAAAACATTGATTAAATGCAAGTCAGATAGTCCCATGGAGTGTTCTGTAAATACCACGCGATAAATTTGTAAAAATTGTAAAGTATATAATGTATTTAAAGTACTGGTTGTCACATATTTATCATACTTATACTATCATAGTTTCAGCCAAAGTGTATTGAAAATAAAACTAAAAGTATTATTGTAATTTATATTTAAATTTGACATCAAAATATAAAATTCCACGCCGGTTTTTATAGGGGTTGGGTAAAATTTGCACTAAGTATATCATTTTCGAATACAATACTTGTATCGGGTACTGTGGACCAGTAAAACCCACCTTTTTTATGTCTCATGAATTTCGCGAAAACATCTTCACACTCGGATATTTTCATAATCAGGCCGCAGTAATACTTATACGTATTTTTGGTACTTTTAAACTTTACCAAGATCTATTGTCCTTCCATATATAAACTTTTGGCTTTATTTATCTTCTCATTTTGTTCATTTTTAGTCTCTTCTAGTCTAGGTCGTTTTATCTTCAGTCCTTTTTTTTCATCGTTTTCTATTATTAGGCTTTCTATCTGTTGTTTTCTTTCCTGCTTCTCTATTCTGTGTTCTTTTGTTTCCAGTTTTTTTTATTTTTTTCACTGTGTCCTGGTCTTCCCACAAGCCTCTCTCCATTTCATATTCATTTACCATCTGTTTTTCCACATTCTGTCCGTTCCTTTCATTACTTTCTATCCTTGAGTTTTCTTCCTCGTGTCTTTTTGTTTCCAATTCCTTCATTTGTTCCTCTGTGTCCTGTATTTGACATTCGATTTTCTCCAAGTCATATTCATATACCATCTCTTGTACTCGCCTGTTATCACTTTCTATTTTCAAGTTTTTTATTTCATACTCTTTTTTCCAATTCTTTCATTTGTTCCTGTATTTCCTGTTTTCCAAATTCTTCTTTCTCCTTGTCATTTAAAATCTCGTTTTCTATCCATATATCACTTTCCGTTCTGAATCATTCTGTCTCATGTCCTTTCGTTTCCAAATAGGCCATTTGTTCACCTTTTACCTTTTCATCCATTTTATGATCTTCTACCAGTTGTCTCAATAAGTAATCCTGCATGTCTTCAATTGAATTGTAATCCGAAGAATCTACATACTGTATAGAGCATCAGAGTCCGAATCCGAAGAATTATCTTGGAGGTTTTTGGTTCTTATACTCTTCCATTTGAAATCTTTTTTCAAAAAATTTATTATTTAGTATTTTAATAGTTTCCTCTTATATAAAATAAATGATAAGTATAAAAAAGTACTTATCATTTATATAAAATAAATGATAAGTATAAACAATTGCATTGTTATTATTATTAGAATAAGTGTATTAATATTGTCATGTAAGTTTTAATCACCTTGTAAGCCCTCCTAAAAGTAAAACATTTACGTATAGAGACCGGTAAAGTATAGTGACAACCCTAGCTACAGGTAAAGACGCCACTGTACAAACTGTGGCAACTTTACCTAGCCTCAACTATCATTACCTATACAAATTTCTCTTAAAATTGTTAAGAAATTACCATTATAATAGTTTCTACGTCTTCTTAGGAAGGTTATATATAATATGTATCAATTCTACTTACCTCAGCTAAGTGAATTCACAAGCACAATTAAAATTTCGACCAGAATCTGCTGCGACAAGTGTCCCGTGAGTATCAACAAACGTTTATAACTTGTCATTTGACAGTGCTGCCAGTATTAAAAAAAATTGTATGACCATTGGCTCATTACGAAACAACTAATGTGTCTATGAAATATCTACCATTAGTAGTTTCTGATAAAAATGATTTTTCTTATTACTTGTCAGTGGTAGGTAAAGATGACAAGGGAAGGTAAAGATGCCTTAGTTGACGGTACGTAAAGTTTTTACGTACACCAAAAATAAAAGACATATTTCTCTTTGAGAATTTGGGTTACTGTCCTCTTCCCTTTTTATTATGTAATATGGTAAATTATCAGGACCTATAGCACTATTTGGTGTTAAAAGCTCTCAGTACCCGACATTGAAATTGGATCTACTTAGTCAGACCTTAGTACTCTTATTAGGTTGTAGTCAGATCTATGGTCAAGCCAAAGAGTGGAGTAAGTCAGACCAAGGACAATATATTTTTTAAATGAAGGTAATATAACTTAGAGTCATTACTATGTTCTTATCCACTCAAGCGCCCACGGTGACTGTAGTCCACACAAAAATTCTTGTGTTAACTATCCATGGTGACTACAGTCCCCGAACGACATCGTTCGGTTTAATCGTGTACAGCGCTAAAACATATGTTAATAATAATTCAGTAGAAAAATAAGAGATGGTGCTATTTTAAATGTGTTTTCCATAAGAGTGAATTTTACCTGTGCAATGGCAACAAAATATTCAGGAAAAAAATGGGAAAATAACAGTGTGCCATTCTTGTTTATGGGCTGTTAAAGTATTTGGAGCTTGATCAAAAATGTGATAAATTTTCTGTTTTTATACGTTATTCCTAATGCAATTATGCATCAAATTAATTTTGAAGATATTTTCTTTAAATAAGTATCATTATGTAATAAGTATATTGTATACGAAATATGTATCATTACCGTGCGTTTGCACTGACGCGATTTTCACGAAAAAACATGTTTTAAACACTGTTTTCCTCCGATAGGAGTAATAGTGTTCTGTGATGTTTTCTGTCAATGTACCAAAAAGCGTTTGCATAGTCACTAAAAATATTGTAGTTAAATATGTTTGACAGTTTATTGTACACTACATATTATAACTATATTATATCTATATAACTGCAGAAACAAAATGTTTGAAAACAAATTTGTATAAATATTGTCATATTGAAAGATAAGTTTGACGTTAATTTTGTATTTGTAGACAAATTAATCGAGACAGAGAATTTTCAACAAAATGGATTCAAGTGATGAGAAGAGGTTTTATTTTTTTAAGTACCTGTACTGTACATTTACAACAAAAAAGAAAGAAATCGAGAGTCTGGACGCGCGTGCGTGCAATGTGTTTGACAGTGATTCGCAGTGGGATATGGGATAGAGACTAAAAACTGTGCTGTATGACGAATAAAGAAAATTAAAGAAAGTGATACATGAGAAAATTATACCAATTGCGTAATCACATTAAAACATTAAAAGCCAAAATTGTATTAAGTGTTTAGCTAATGAAAATACAGTAAGAAAATAACATCAACATTTGCGCTGTAATTACAAGTTCAAATAGGAAATTGAAAGAAAAAGCTACATGACATATGAAAATCAAAGCCATGTGGCTTTATAAAAGGTCACCCACCTGTTACAGGCTACTCAGGCTCTATTAAAGGGTTAACTGAGTACTCTTTGCTATTGAAATCAATCAACCAGTTTTTAAGGCCTGGCAGATTTTTTAAATACTATAAAACCATCAGACAATCAATTTATATTGATATTTGATGAAATGTCTTTAAAAAAATGTGATGTATAAACCCAAAGAAGATTTGATTGAAGTGTATTAGGATCACAGAACACAAGGAACATCTTCAGTCATAGCATCATATGCATTAGTATTTATGATTGTTAGTACTAGGAAGACTGAAACAGCCCATTGCCCACTATTTCTCCAATGCATTTTTAACTGCAAATCATCTTACTGTACTAATAAAAGAGGTAATTATTAGTACTTTGTATGATGTTTCATTTTATTTCAACAGTTGAAATTAAAGTTGATTATAAAAGCTCAACGGTTGTAAAACATATTTAATTTTTGATTTCAGGTCTTGAATCAGTCATAGCTGGCATAACTTCCAGGCTGTCAGGCTGGGATGAATATATCTGCAACAGTGTGTGACATGGACGGAGTAAATTTACAAGTTCTCTCTATCTTGGGTGCAAATGTGCAACAACTATATTTTGCATTCTATAACAAAGAGATAGTGACCCTTTGATACGCCATATTTATTACATAAGGGATCTTGCATTGGGGTTAATGCATTTCACATTGAAATAACTTTGTTTTGCAGAAGAGAGCCATGAGAGCACTTTACAACCTAAGTTCGAAGGAGTCTTTTCAAGAAAGTTTTTTAGAAGTAAATATATTAACTATAGCGTTTTAGTAGTTTTATGAAAATTTAATGTATGTTTTTTATTAATTTTTGTTTTTGTTAATTTAATGTTCACAAAAGCAACAATAGTTTTTTATTAAAAATAGTAATGTATATTCTGTAAATACTAGGAACAAGTACAAGCTAGTTATATCAGTTATTCCACTTCAAAGAATAAGTTTTCCTTCATGGGGCAATAGTATATGTTTTTACAAGTCATAAAATTTGCAGTCTATCAAAAACTGAAAATTTTTAACTAAGCAAAGTTGTTCAAAAAAATGTTATTACAATAAAATATACGATTGATAAACCCCTGGGAATGGAGTGATTAATGTTTTTTCTAAATGTTTTAATATTTAATTGTAAAACATTATATTCTAAATAACATTTTGTTCAAATGACCCGCTTGGACTTCTTGCTTGTTTTCTACATAGGACAGAGGCTTTTCCCAAACGAGTAAAAACATTAATTACTTAATGAGTTTTGTAATCAAGTATTCTCTAATAAGTTTTGTAGTTTTGAATAAAATTTATTCTATTTACATCGTAACTGCAAGCATATAATATAGAGGCAAAATTTTAAGGTTAATTTTAAATCAGGGAAATAAATAGACAACCAATTATTGTCAAAATGAAATTATTATTTGCTGGTTTTACTCTGCTCTTGTGTATATGAGCTTATTTATTATTTAACTTGTTTTTGATTCAAATATTGCTATTTTAGGTATTGTAGACATGCTAGGGTTTTTAATTGTGCATGATATTATCAATACATTCATAATTGTAAATCATCTATATTATTTTGTCCTTTTTTATATAGGTAATTGAAATATTGTAATCAGTATTGATTTTTATTTTCTTGTTTTAACTCATCTAATGACTTAATAGACAGAAATAATTTTGCTAAAGAAATTTTGTCTCCTCCCTTCAGTAGTGTTCTAGTATTATGCAAGTTTGAAAAATGTTATTCTGTACCTTAGAATCACCTGCTATTGGGCGGCCAGTATACATATACTAGGCTATGTCGGATGCATGGCTGTTACATTCCGTCTGGACTGTAATACTAAGCCCGCAAGACCCAACATTGTAGGCTTAGTATAACAATCTTTTTTAACACCCTTTGGGTCCAGACTTATAAAATGATAAATATTGTTGCCATTATATACATATTATATTATATTTTTCAGAGTAATCAAATTCGTAACTTAAGCTTAAATACATAAATAATGATATAATGTTATTGCAATTTTTTAAAATATCAGTAAATAAAGCTTCTTTTATTTGCAACTATCCCAAATTGAATCCGATTTATGGGCAACAACCTTTTTGCCTACCGATCGACTAACATGTTTCAAATATAAGCAAGCTCTAACTAATTTTTAATATCTTTATCTTACGAGGAAACTGAAAAATTATTAAATATAGATAGTTAAAAATGCTAACTGTTAAGCAAAATAATAACACACACTCACTCCTTTCACACACACACACACACACACACACTCATATACTACACACTGGCATCTACGTATTAATTTTACACTTACTTCTAAACTTTTAATATTGGTTTATGATTAACAAATCTCCAATATTAAATGAACATTTTGCATATTATATTTTATTGTTTTAAGAAAATGATATTTTAACTGAGTCACTACTCGCTAAGTTTCAATTATTTCTATGTGAAATATAGAATAAGTTCTTGTAAATGTTTACTATAACATTTGGA